CAACAAGTACTTCTCAAAATAATTTGGGGACTTCTAGAGAAACAATGGTTTGATCCAATACTTTGGTACTCTCCCTCCTGACATTCTATTCAGATAACAGTAAAGAAATTTAAAAGCTATAATCTTTCAAGAAGCAGACAGTAGTGAAGGGCGGATGACAACATTTTTATAATGAAAGTACATGATGGAATTCCAGGGTAAGTTGGCAGATAGAACACACACATCTAATTTTCCTCCCTCCCAAAACTCTACTAAAACAAGGATAAAGAAGATGATGTTGTATTCTGTTTTTAGCTCATAAACCATAAGGACAGGGAGAATGGAAAAAGAGACAACAGCAATAAAATTTTGGAAGCTGGAAAGAAGATGGATGAGTGGTAACTGACTTTGTCAAAGACAGCCAAATTACAAGCCAGCAGTGCTGTCAATTTAGAACCAACCCAATTTATACTACACAATCCTCAAAAGGCTTAGGAACTGCCAGAACAAAGAGGGGCAGGGGAGACCGAAGTAAGAAAGGATCAGGTGAAAGCTGTCAAGAGTTAGAAACCTAGACCCATTCCTCCTCCAAGCTGCTGAGTGGCCCATCTTCAGTGCAGCAGTTGCCTGGAGATTTATTCTCTCAAGAGGGCAAACCATAATGGGTAGAAGACATAAGTATCCCAACAACAAAAAAAAGCAAATTATGTGACCTTATATCCTGAACATTCTATGACTCATTCATTATCCAGCCATCTTTCTTGAATTCCCAAATCACCAGCAACCAAACCTCAACCCTCCAAGCACAAAACTGGAAGATACTTTTTGGGCAATATGGCCAGACCACAAGGAAAGACAGAAACACTGGGGTAGCTTCAAACAGTCCACCTAAACCAATGGTTTCACTCTTGACCACATACGGGAATCACCTGGACGACTTTAGAAAATACCGATGTTAATCTGTAGGGATAGAAATCAGAATAGCCGTTGCCTTTGGCCAGGGAGTAGGGAAGAGAGAACAAAGAGATACACAGGGTTTTCACAATGCTCCGTATCCTATTAGTTACGTGAGTGTATACATGGCAAAATCGAACTATAAACTTAAAATGTGTGTTTTACTGTATGCAATCATAACTGTTTAAAAAATATTGCTACCTGAGTCCTATCCTCAGAGATTCTGTTGCATTTGGTCTAGCAGGGTGTGTATATCTTTTTTAAGCTCTCCATATGATTCTAAAGTGCAACCAAAATTGAGAACCACTGTTCTATGCAGGAGACTATAGAGTAAAACTGGAAGTCAATAAGCCCCACCTACAAGCTCAGGGCTTCCAATCAGCTTTTAGTCTCCACTCTCCATCATGAAGAAACCACCAAGGATTATCAAAACTCTGAGGGCCTCTATTATAGAAAAAAAGTAACTTGGAGGAAACAAACTACGCAAAGAAAAGAAACCTTAAAGAGACTATCTTTAACATTCTCAGACAGATAAAAGAAGATACCGCAACCACGGAACAAGAAAGAGATGGAGGAATGTATAATGGAGTAAAGGACAGGAAGCCAAACCTACAGGCCTGCATAAGGGAATATGGTCAAGAAGCTATTCTGCAGGGCACCTGGGTAGCTTAGTCAGTTAAGGGTCTGACTCTGGATTTTGGCTCAAGTCATGATCTCAGCATGGAGCCTGCTTGGGCTTCTCTCTCCCTCTGTCTCTTCCCCTCCCCCACTCACATGTGTGCCAGCTCACTCTCCCTCAAAATAAATAAATAAACTTAAAAAAAAATACTTATTTGTCTCACTCACAGAATCCCAGGAAGGTTCAGGACTTGGAGTCTCCAAGTCCTTCTATATATGGTCAGTGTATGGGAGAGGTATAGGGCTGAAGAGGTTAGTAATTTAAGGTCTGCAATATAGAGACCCTTTAGTTTCCCTTCATTTATATAATCTCATAAATTTATTCCCTAGAAACAGTGACTTGGAGAGACTCCAGACTCAAAAGACTGGAGTGAAGCAAAGGCTGAAAGCCAAGGGATTAAGCAGAAAAGCATGTATTGTGAATAGCAGCCCCTACCTACCCACAGCCCAATTCCTTTGTGCTCAGAACACTGCGAGCCAGGCATATTACTTCCCCAACTCTCGCCCCTGCCCAGTTGAATTTAAACGTCCTTTTTGCATGCTGCCAAATCAATTTTCATAACAGCATTTATAGTGGATGATAAAGGTCTCTCCTTGAATTTCTACTTACCCTCCTAGACTCTAAACTGCTTACGGGCAGGGGAAGCATCTTAATCAGCTTTGTATCCCCGAAGTCCTAACACAGTGATTGTGAATATACTCAACACTCTGTAACTCTTTAATTGGTCCTAGATACCACACCAAAAAAAAGAAAGAAAGAAAGAAAAAAGTAACAAACAAACCACCTTGGAAAACTAGAACATACAAGGTGTAATTTACATTAGGTCCTGAATGAAGATTAAAGACTTAAATCAGCTGTACTTTTTTTTTTCTAGATTTATTTATTTTTGGGAGAGAGAGCACAAGCAGGGGAGGGGCAGAGAGAGAAGAGAGAGAGGGAGACATAGAATCTGAAGCAGACTCTAGGCTCTGAGCTGTGAGCGCAGAGCCCTGCGCAGGGCTGGAACACACAAACCGTGAGATCATGCATGACCTGAGCCGAAGTTGGACGCTCAACCAACTGAGCCACCCAGGTGTCCCATATTAGCTGTATTTCTATATACTGGCCACAAATATTTTAAAATATCACTTACAATGTAAAAAATTTAAAATAACTAACATTAAATAAAAAAAGATGTGCAAGACTTTTACAAAGAAAACTATAAAACATTACTGAAATTTTAAAAGACCTACTTAGAGGTATATACCATGTTCGTAAATTAGAAAATTCAATATTAAGACGTCGATACTTCCAAACCGATCTATAGATTCAATTCCAATTTCCAAAATTTGTTGAAATTGACAAGAAGATTCTGAAATTTATGGAAATGCAAAGAGCCAAAACTGTCCATTATTAAAGAACAATATTGGAGGCCTTATACTACCACACATTCAATTACATTAATACAGTGATATTGGCGCAAGGATAATAGACCAATAAAACAGAATATCCAGAAACAGATCCACACTTAAACAATCACCTGATTTGTGAGAATGTGCCAACCAGTGCGGAGGGACAAATATGGTTATTTTCAATAAACGGTGCTGGGTCAAAAAAATATCCACCTGGTAAAAAGTGAATCTTGACTCCCTATAATCCATGGGAAACTTATTGTAAATTGTACACTTTAAATGTGAAAAGTAAAACAAAATAAAATTTCTGTAAGGTAACCAGGAAAACATCTTCATACTCTTAGGCTAAGCAAGATTTCTTAAATAGGAGACAGAAAGCAGTAATCATAAAGGAAAATAGTAAATATATTTCTATAAAATTAAGAATGCCCATCCATCAAAAAAAAAAAAAACCACCATTAAAAGAGTGAAAAGACAGAGTAGAATAAGATAAATGATGTATAGTTTATAGATAGGGGTATGAGTGTACCTCCCAGAAAGGACTCATACCCAAAATATTATAAATTAAAAAAAAAAAAAAAACACTCGGGCATTTCACAAAAGGCATATAAATGGCCAATAAAAGATAAAACCACAACTATCAGGAAAATGCAAAATAAAACCAGACAAACATATTACTGCACCTCTACCAGAAAAGCACAAATGTTTCAAACTGACAAGCATCAACAAGGATGCAGCATAACTGGATTAAAATTCTCTGCTAATTAGCACAACCACTTTGGGAAAATGTTCAACGGTATCTAATACTTGGGTTTATCATTCACATACCTCACAAACCAGCAATTCCACTCCTAGGTAAAATCCCCAACTTAGTAATGTTCTGTTTCTTGATCTGTGATGGTATACTTCGTAAAAATCCTTTACCGGCATACTTAGGATTGTACGCTTTTTCCGTATATTACATACTTCAATAAGTTTTCTAAGTTTCCTTGACACAAAGTTCTCAGAGACCTTAAAGGCTAGCATTTTTTAATAGAAAAGGAGCTTTCAGGTAAATTCAAGAGTTTATTAATAAAAAAAAAAGCTATTAACACATTATCAGCCCAGAACAAAGGTAAAAAACCAACAACAGATAGTTTTCCTTGATCTTCAAGAAACACCGGATTTCTTTCTTTCAGGAAAGAAAGAGGTTTATTATCCTACACTGTAACCCAAAGAAAAGATAACTTTGCAAAAGAAATACTGCTTTTCAAATCACCTCTAACAGCAACGGATAGGAGGAAAGTAAAGGAACCATTCCAAAAGTTTTGGTTAACTCGTCGGTGAAAGGATAACAAATGACTTAACCTAAAACGTCCAAAAAACAGACGCAAAGAAATCATGGCAATTCTAAAACAAACACGAACACCACAATTAAACCTACCGGAAATTCTGCGGTTAATTTGAGGCTTGCCCCGCTAGTCATAAGGTGATTCGGTGATGGGCACTAACGCTCTCCAGGTGCATCCTAGGGAGCCCCCTAGCACACCTGGCTTGCCCATCACCTGCCGGGGGGAATCTGCCTTGCGCAGACTCCCGGAGGCCAAAGGAAAACGCCAACTTTGCAAGTAAGGGCGCAGGTGGTCTCACTCCATCAGGACACCCGGAGAGAACGGACTTCTGGCCTCGAGGGAGGACATGAAACTCAATATCCCACACGGGATTTATGAGGAAGCGCCCCCGAAGCTGCCCGGCCCCTTCACCTCCCCGGGACTCCACTGGGAGACCGGCTGGCGAGTTTTCTCCTCAGAGCCCACAGGAGGACGGTCCCGGACCGCCGCGGCCTCAGGGAACTTAGGCCCTGGCGGAGCCGGGCGCGCCCGCCCCGCTCGCGCCCCAAGTTTGGTGGCTGCCCCTACTCGCCACGCCTCGGCCCCGCCGTGCGCCCCGCGGAACCCGGGCTCGCTCGCGGCCCGTCCGGCCTCCCGGCCCGCCCGGCCTGGCGCGGCGCCCCTCACCTTGGAAACGTTGGGTGGACTCCGCCGTAAACATTAACTTCCCATCCAGCCGGCAGCCTCGCCGCCGCGTCTCAGCGCCTCGGCCCGGGCTTCGGCTCCGCGGGCCGCCTTCCCCGTCCGTTCTCAAGCGCCGAGCTCACTGACTAGCTCAGAGACCCTCCGACCCTCACCCACCCCTCCGGGCGCCGCCACTGCTTTAACTACTACCCGACCCTTATCCTGCCCACCCGCCGGCTACTCCAGGGTCTGGCCGACCGCGTCAGGAAAGCCCAAAGCGCAGGCGCGGCAGGCCTTAAAGAGACCGGCCGCCTCTACCGCATAATGGGTTCGAGCAGGTTAGGGGCCGGGCGGCCGGGCGAGGAAAGGAGAAGCCGAAGGGATTGGGCCGAGGGGAACGGGGGCGGGGAAATCCCTCTCCCTCCTCCGCCTCTCTTTCAAAGCGCCAGCCCTCGGCCTTACAAATTGCAGACTTCCCCAGTCTCCTGAACCGCCCCTCGCCTGTAAGAACTGCACAGGACACACCCCCTCGGGGGCCCGAGGCGACCCCTAGCTTGGAGCTGCAGGCTTTGCGCTACCGCATCGCCCACGCGCCTCCTAGGCCGCGGGCACGCGACGCAGACGCGCAGGTTTCGAGAAGCCGTCCCAGCTCCTCGAGAGGTGACCTAGGTCACTCTCAAAAACAATAATCAGTGTGCAAATAGCGTTTAGGATTACAAATCCCTCTACCATCAGTCGTCTCGACACACTGGGTTTATGCAAAAGTACGGCAGGGGGCAGAACATGGGCACAAATACATGCAGTCCACCCGGGCAACCATCCAATATCAACGAAGAAATTCTTAGAAGTGCGTACTTAGTTTGGGACAGGAGCTATCTACTAATTCTGATCTAACCCCAGGAAAAACGGACAAGAAAAATAATAAAGCTATTACAAATTGCCTTCGTTATACATTTAGAAGTTACAAAATGGGAGTAATTATAAGCACCAAAAAAGTCCAGTTGTTTGCCTAGAAATTAGATGGCCCCTGGTTATTTTCTGATACAGATTTACGGTCTCCAGAAAGCGTTTCACTGTAGAAAGCATTTCAGAAAAAGAAAAATTCACTTTTTTTAAAAAACAGGCTTAGGACATACTGAAAAATAGGAAGTAGAGCCATGCCCTCCATCCATTCAAAGCTAAAACCTTTGAAACCTTGAAATTTTATTTGACGCAAAATTTTTCATAATTTTTAGGTCATGCCATTATTTAAAGTTAATTTCAACTAACAATTTTATTGCAACTGAATCCATTTTGTATAAGAAAGCTAAGAGATATCTTGAAAAATCTACCTTTCCCTCCTATATTACATCTATCAGCAAATCCTATTGATTTTACCTCTGAAATTTTTCTTGATCCTGTTCTCTTCTATCTCCTCCATCACCAGCCTAGTCCAAGCTACCTGTATCGGAGTGGAGGGGTGCCTGACCTAGCCTTCTAAATGGCTTACCCACGTGCCCTTAGTTCCTCTCTCATCTCTTCTCCACAGGAAAGACTATGTGACCCGGTTACTTCCCAGGTAAACCACTTTAATAGCTTTCCATTCTCTTAGACAAAATCCCTCAACTAACCAAGTCCTGTATGGTCAGATGTCTGGCCCACCTCTTCTCTCCTCACTGCTCAGACTACCGCCGTCTCTTCCATCCATCCTGCTGTCTCTGTTCCAGCCACACTGGCCTTTTCCAATCTTTCAAATCTTCCTCTCTTGACAGAGCTTTTGCGTATGCTTTGCTCAGTGCCTAGAAAGCTTTCCCAACCCTCATCCTTCTTACCTCAGTTGGCTCTTGTCTGTATCTCTCAGGAGCACCCTCAGACTTCCTCACCTTGGTCCCTTCCTATCACACTGCACTGAACCTGTAATTGTATGATTATTTTGTTGAATTTTATTCCCCCCCTCAACTAGATTATCTAAGTCCAAGAGCTTGGTTTTCTTTGGTTCATGGTTGTTATTTCCATATTTGTTCAATATATATATTTGTTCAATATATATATTTGTTTAATCAATGAATGAAAATCATAGACTGTTAGAACTTGAACTAGATGTGGTTTAAAGATTACCTGTCATGTGTAAAAAGTCACAATTTGACATTTGGAATCAGAATCTAAAAATAACTTGTTATTTGTAAAATTGATTTTGTATTGTTTTAAGTGGGCTGTCACAAGATTCTTTGGGCAAACTTTAAAACAGAGTTCTCAAAGCACCTTGCATAAACCCTTGTATTAATAATAGCTACAGGATGGCCTCACATGGAGCTAATACCACTTGTTGCTTCAAGAGAGGAAAATTGGGTGACTGGTAGACAGGAGTGGATAGGAAACTCTTGACTGCCTGCCCTTTTGTACCTTTTCAGTTTCTAACCATGTGAATATATTACCTATTAAAAAATAAATGACACGAAAGAGTGCTTACTGTATGATTTTATTTACCTGAAGTTCCAGAAAAAGCAAAACTAGTCTGTGGTGAAAAAAACAGAACTGGTTGCCCCGGGCTGGGAATTTACTGGGAAGACACATGAGAGAGATTTCCGGGTGATAAAAATGGTCTAAATCTTGAAAGGATGTGAGTTACACAAGTGTGTTCATTTTGTCAAAAAAAAAAAAAAAAGTATGGTTAACATTTCAATTAATGTGAATTTTACCTAAAAAAAAAAAAACTATATAAAAAGAGAAATGCCGCATACTATTTTGAAAATAAGCTAACTCACAGTTGATCACTCCCTGTGTATGAGTATTGTCAAGGGCTATACATCTGTACATATGTTATTTCTTTTAATCTATCACCCCCTTGCATATGAGAAAACTGAGACTTAGTAAATACCAAGTAACTTGCCCCTATTTATACAAATTGAAAAATGGTGAGGCAGAGCTTGGGACCCAGTCAGTCTAATGCCATAAGTGGTTTATGCATATTGTCCACTAGATCAAGAGCTTTGCAATGATTAGAATCATATTCTGTCTGAGGCTTCTCAGTATTCCAAGTACTTTTTGCATACTTGCTGTTCAATGCATTTTGAATGAATGATAAAGAATAAGCTTCGTGTTGATTTTATTGGTAGAAATTATATATATATATATTTTTAATGTTTATTCATTTTTAAGAGAGACAGAGAGTGAGCAGAGGAAGGGCAGAGAGAGGGGGAGACATAGAATCTGAAGCAGGCTCCAGGCTCCGAGCTGTCAAGACAGAGCCCGACTCAGAGATCGAACTCACAAACCATGAGATCATGACCTGAGCCAAAGTCAGGTGCCCAATCTACTGAGCCACACAGGCGGCCCAAAATTATATTTTTAATTGGCACTATACACGTACATATATATGTAACATATATACACACACATATATTCATATATTCCAAATAATCTAAATAATCAGCACTGCTGTGCTTAATGTCTGAGATATTTTGTCTTAAATGAAGTTATTGGCCTGAGGAGAGGAGTTTATTCCTTTAGCTCTGACCCTCTAGCATTCTCCCTGGTCTATGCTTTTCCTTCACTCACTCAACTTTTTTGATGAAAGAGCTTACACTTTAACTTGTCACTGAAATAGCTCAATCTAACCAGAGAAATAGCTAATTCTGATTTCTCACAAGTGCTTGAGCACTTGCGTAAGCGAAATTCCACCGTGTGAATTCCACATCAACACCACCTCTGCTCTAGCTTTCTGCCACTTTGCTGTTCACACTCTGGAACTTCAAAATAGAGGAAGCATGGGTGCAGTGGGCAGTGGCACCCATCTTGGAGACTAATTTGAGGTCAATTCAATTAGCAATTCAAAGTTTTCTATGTTCTAATGTTGCAAACCCTTGGCATTGACTTTTGTCACTGTATAGGAGAGGGTCTGAGCTCTATTCCCTCTAAACCTGGCAAGGGTTAAATCTCAGAACACCATGCTCTCAACTGCCAAAGGTGTTTTGTAAGTCAGGCATGTGAGTCATTGCTCACAGAAAGGAAAAGCAAAGGAGGCATTCCCCTGAGAGGCAAAAACTGCCCAGTGTATGGAAGAGGAACTCACCAGTGTAGTCAAACCCATTTGTGAACAACACCTCATACTCACCCTGGGCTGCTGGCATTTGCAGCTTCCTTAAAGAGCCAGGGCATCTCAGTTACATTCTCCAACTGCACTGTTCAATACAGGAGCCACTAGCCACATATGATTGGTTTACATTTAAACTTAAATTAAAATTTGAATTTCCCACTCACACTCACACATTTCAAGTGCTCAATAAATAGCCACATGTGACTACTGGCTACTATCTTGGACAGCAGATATAGAACATTTCCATCCATCAGAAAGTATTCTTGGCAGCGCTCTTCTAGACAAAAGGAGAGGGGCGCCTGGGTGGCTCAGTCAGTTAAAAGTCGAGCTTTGGCTCAGGTTATGACCTCATGGTTTGTGAGTTTGAGCCCCACATCAGGCTCTGCACTGTCAGCTTGTGATTCTCTCTCTCTGCCTCTCTCTCTCTGCTCCTCCCCAACTCAAGCTCATTGCGCCTCTCTCTCTCTGTCAAAATGAAAAAAGCTTAAAAAAAAAAAAAAAGAGGGGCACCTGGATGGCTCAGTCAGTTAAGCTTCTGACTTCGGTTCAGGTCATGATCTCATGGTTTGTGGGTTCAAGCCCCACCTCGGGCTGTGCCGACAGCTCAGAGCCTGGAGCCTGCTCTGAATTCTGTGTCCCCCTCTCTTTCTTTGTACCTCCCCAGCTTGCACTCTGTCTCTCTCTCTCTCAAAAATAAATAAAAACATTACAAATTGATCAATTAATTAATTAAAAAGGAGAAACAACACTCCATTGCAACTCCCAGCTAATGTTCAAAATATTTTGCTCTGGAAAAATGAAAAGGCTCATGATGAAATAGTGGAAGCCTATTTCACTTGGTTCACTGCTTTCCACAATATGAGTCCAAATTTAAGTTAAGCATAAAAGTTGTGACCTCTCCAGAAAATGAGGATGGCTTTAACCTTACCACTTTACTTCTACCACATTTTATTGTTTGCAAGACACATTATCTTAGAAAAGAACATTTTTAAGAGGCACATAAATCTATTGCCATCTCTTGGCGCTTTGTGCACATATAGAGAGACTAGGTCTGCCACAGTTGTGGCAAAGACTCAGCTCTCTGACTCTAGAGTTTGGGCATCATTTTTATATGTGATATTAGACATTCACACGATCAATCCAACAGCAGCTTCTAAAATTGAACGACCAAAATGAGACATCAACAGAGTGCCAATTTTCA